TGTGTATTCTGGAATCACCCCGGGGCTTACAAACTACTGCAGAAGCCCAGGTTCTGATTTAATTGACACTACCGGAGCTTGTAAGGATGGCGCAGGATACAGCAAAGTTCAGATCTGCTCTTCACAGAGTCTATGAGTTATGTCAACTCGATGGCATCTAACCAAAGTGCGGCCTGGGCCTGAAGAATTTTTTAAGCACCCCAGGTGACTCTACTGTGCAGGGAAGTTTGGTACACGACAAGTAGAGCTGTGATTTTCCCTTCTCTGAAACAAGAATAAAAGTGCTTCCCTCTAAGTGCTTCAAAAGCCATGTCTTAAAGACTCAATTATCTGATGAAATTTGTTCCAAGTACCAGATAAACAATTATTGTCTTAGCAGGGAAGCTAGCCTATTGACAATGCCCAGAGTTCTGCACAGAAAGTGGATTCTAAGCTTAATTTGGTGTTAACAAATCAGTTGAATTCTACTCTTTGGTTAAGTTGTACAATGGTTTCTGTTAATCTGCAACATGTAGTAAAAGTTTAGTCACTATTCTGCTGAGATGATGCTTAGGTTTTTGATGCTGGATTTCCACCTCAGACCCTCAGCTGCTCCCTTAGTCCAGGAAATATTTGGAAAAAAATGACCACCTTAGGCAGGTGTTTTGCACCGAGTGAATCTTAGGGAGCAACTGAAAAAGACATAGGAAAGGCCCTTCTGAATCACTGTTGTGTTTAAAGTAAGCACGCAGAGAAATAAAACACTTTCTATTCACTGTAAATGCAGAAGCAAATAGAATAGTGTATAACTACATTATTGTGGATTATTTCCTTTCTGTTCTGTTAGGACAGATAACAAGGGCTAACTATATAAAGTGGAAGATCTTCCTGGTGTCATGGGTTTATTGTTTAAAATGGCTTTCTTAACCATTGGTAGACTTTGACTTTGCCATACAGATGGGATGGACTTGCAAACAGGGTGTGTTAGTCTATCCACAAAGGGACTGGTCAGTCTAGTTATTAAATTGGGAGGATTCAGCAGCAGAAATTGGAAATCTCAACACCAACAAAGAAGCAGCAGCAGTGTGCATCCTTCAAAGCCAGAGATTCCTGGGCCAGGCAGACCAAGATCTACACAAAAGCAGAAAATCAGAGATGCACCTGAGACAGAGCTAACTGAACTGCTGCCTCACAGAGCCAGAATCAGAGGCCTTCACACAAACTTGCCAAAGGGCTAAGAGAGGACACCGTAACTGGCAGGAGCAAGGCAACTTTGTGATTCTGACCCAGTCCAGGAGGCTCAAGGTCAAAAGACCTGCAAACATGCTTGAGAAGATGTCTGGACTGAGGCTCACATCCTGCTGCCAACCTGAATTTAGAGCCTGCTATCTTCCCCAGTGAATCCCACAACCATGAGTTTGGTTCTGTGTGGTGGCCTGTGAGCAACTGCCATGAATTTTGGACCCAGTAGAGCAGTCAGATTGCTGCTGGAATGAACAGAAAGAGGTGCAAGAGCATGCGGGGGCGGGGTGGACAGACATCTGATCTAAAGGGAACTGGTTTTGCATTGTGGATGCTGTTGGTAGGGGTAGTTCCCCCTTGTGGAGTTAGCAGAGGTCACACCTGGCCCTCCTCATGCTGCCTACACTCCTTTTTTTTTAATTTGATCTTTATTTTTTTTTTAACTCAAAACTAGTTTTATTTTAAAATTAAATATATAACACTCACCTAGTTACATTGGTGTAGATTTTTAGCACCATGCTTGTTATTTATACTTTATGTAGTAACAGATAAATTTTCGTATGCTGTCTGTACTTGAGTAGTGTTTACATAGTGGACTTTGGTAAAATCCTTTATACAAATTAATTTGTTCACAGTACACATTTAATGATGGCCCAATAATTTTAAAAAACTTTAAAAATCCTATGACAAACACCAAAACCCCAAGTCTAACTTAGTGACTAATCAGTAAATTAAACAAACCCCACACAGTTCTTCTGTCTCCAAAAGCTAGTAGTTGTGAGTGTATTTATATCAAACCCTAATGTTTTAAAAGATTTCTGGCTCCTCAACCACCCCTCCACCCAACCTGGATATGCAGCAATAGTAACTGATTATTCTACCTTCCCCTGAAAAAAAAAATAATCAACCCAGTGTTAGTAAACTTTTTTTAAAATAGCATTCAGTTTATTACAAATATTTAGTATTGGCTTCCCATATTTCCCTGCTTTTGTTTTTATCATAATTATGTTATCATCTAGATGAGCATCCTTTATACACAAACAAACAAAACAAATTCAACATAATAAACTCAAAGAAATACTTTCAAAAATCTCCATCTGATCAGAAGGATTCAGGTTGAATATTCCTTGAAAGTCTGTTTTAATTGTGCCATTGCCACAGTGCTTGTCAAAACCAACCTACACTCTTTTTATAAACCTCACCAAGATGGATTGACACAGGGGCTGTTAACAATGGGCTCCAGCACGGCTGTGATCTTGAGGATGGCCAAGCTGTTAGGGCAAGGTCTGACTTCTTGTTCACAAGGTCACTATGAGTCGTGGTTGACTAAATGGCACCTAACAAAACCACCACAACAAGAAAACATACAAAACTGCCTCATAATATGTTTAGTGCATCTATTCCATCTCTTAGTTCATTTCATAATGTCAGGGGCTTTAAAAGCTTGCAATTAGGCATCCAAGACACAATAACTGGGACCTCTTTGCCAGGAGCAACAAATGAAGAGGAGTCAGGAATAAAAGGCTATTAAATGTTGCTTCCATGAACAACTGCCTTCTTTGTCCTGAGACCATTAGAACTAAATGGTGCCTGGCTATTATTATGGACTCCTTTGATCAAAGATTCTGTAGAAGAATTCTGATCAAAAGGGAAGAAATGCAGAACATCATTTCAAATTCTCATGGACTCTAGACTTTTCAAACTATTGTTTTGAGATAATCTTTAAAACTTAAGCCAGGAAAATATTATGCTCAGTGAACTAACTGAGCCTCACAAAGACAAAAATTATGTAAGACCATTATTGTAAATAAATAGAAGGATAACTAGTAAAACATGTATTGGGATGCAAGAGGGGAAGAGGTGGGAACAGAGGGGTGAGGATTTCACAGGGTTACACAATTCAGTGGGTGGAGGCAGGGGTAAAGGAAATGGGAACGGTCTGGTGGAGACCTAAAAAAATAGGATAAGAGCAGGCATAGTTCAATGATGATTAATTTTATAAAGCATAATGAATGGAAATGATTGTACAAAACATAATGTGAATGATGAATAGTGTGAAATAAAATGTATATGAACTTTATAAGCAAATCAATAGTAAATAAAAATTTTTAAAAAAGCAAAAAAAAAATTTAAGCCAAAAGGCTCCCTGAAGCCTTCTTAAATCAAACAACAATTAAGCGTACACTTCAACATAAAGAAAATAAAATCTTCACATCTGGACCAATAGATAACATCGTGATAAATAGAGAAAAGATTGAGGCTGTCAAAGATTTAATTTTACTTGAATCCACAGTCAACAACCATAGATGAAAACAAAAGACGGACTGCTCTGAGCAAATGTGCTGTCAAGGGCTCATTTAAATGGTTAAAGGGCAGAATATAATTTAAAAGGCCAAAGTGTGTCTGACCGAAGCTATGGTATTTTCAGTTGCTTCCAAAAGTTGGAGAGTGAATCAGGAAGACTGAGGAAGAATTAATGGCTTTGAATTATAGTGTTGGCAAATATTGACTATCCCATGGAGTGCCAAAAGAATAAACAAATCTGTCTTGGAAGGAGGTACAGCCAGGGTGCTTCTTAGAGGCAAGGATGCTGACTTTGTCCCACATACTTAAGACATGCTATGAGAAGGGGTCAATCCCTGGAGACCATCACACTTGGACAAGTGGAGAATCTGAGGAAAGGCAGCCCCTCGGTGAGAAGGACTGACAGAGCAATGAGAACAAAGTATAATGGAGATTGTGAGGAAGGTGCAGAACCAGGCAGTTTTGATCTGCTATGTACAGTGTCACTGAATCAGAGTGGATGTCGTGGCACCTAACAACAATGTAGGAAAATGTCTGGCTTGAGTTTTACCATCTTTCAAGAACTATCTACATGGGATCAAAATGCCAACAGCAGATGAAAGATTAGGTAAGAACCCCAGGGGCAGAGGGTTTGTCTTCTTTTCAATTCAGAAAAGGAGGTGAGTATAGTTGCACAACTTGGTGTATGTTTTGCTGTGTTCATTCTCAACAACAAAATTATTTTCTTTTTACATAAAGCAGTGGAAGTTACAGAATAACATGTACTAGGATTCTATTTAAGTAAATGTTAAACAAAAATGATATTATGTAAAAGAGACTTATGCTTATAGATATTTATATGAACAATAGAAACACTAAAAATGGAAAGGTAGGCTACAGATCAACTTCAGAATAGTGATTTCTTTGTGAGAGAAGGAAAGGAGTAAGTTTATAATTTTAGAATGTCCTTGGAGAGGGACATGATGCTGGGAAGGGCAGAGGGGTCGGGAAAGGAGAGGAAGACCCTCAACCAGATGGACTGACAAGGTGACTGCTGCAATGGGCCCTTGTCTGTCAGAAAGTGTGACGATGGCAAAGGATAGGACAGAGTTCAGATCTTCTGTTCAAAGGGTTGCTATGAGTCATAGTCAACTCAATGGCACCTAACAACAAAATGTCTTTAAAAAGAAATTAAAATAAGGCAAGCTTAATAATTTTTAAAATAAATAAAAAGACATTTAATACTAATAAAGGACTATACAAGACATAATTGTCCTTTTTATGCACAGATGTCATATTTTGGATGCAAATGACTTTGTTCATATACACGTAGAGTAGACTGCAATCAAGTTAAGTCTTAGCCAATGACTCATGGCCTGTCTAGCACATGGGGACACGTCTCAATGGGAGGCAGGCTTTCTCCTCACACAGGTATCTCCAGGAAGAACAAGGAGGCTCTGCCAGCGTGACTGCCACACCCGCACTCATACACTTACCAGTGTAGTTTGCAGTGTAGTTGTTTGGATCTAGAAATTTCTTCACCAGCTCACAATTAGACAGGATATGATTTGTGGTGATAACATTGAGATAATTCTGCAGACCTTTCTGCCTCTCAGCGATGAATTCACGATCCATGTTCCCGATCAACTTTTTAGGAGGAAGAGGTAGGCTGAGACCTGAAATCTAAAGCAAAACAAGGCATTAGATAGACACTTGTCATCCTCAAAGGAGATATGATATGAAATCTTGAACCACAGTATTTCGTTACATATAAGCCACCATCATTTATTTCCGTGATTCTAAAAATGTTTTAAAACTCCAAATGCCAAGACTCTTAAAACTGATAAACACTGTTTTCGGCACAGTAGCTTTAATGTTTGTTTTCAAAAGGTCGGGGTTTTTAAAAATTTTTATGTTATATATGAACTTTATTTTAGGTGCTGAATATTTTTTCTAAATAAAAGTTTGTGGGTTTTTATTAATTTTTTTAAAAAGCTTTATTATTTCTGTGTGTGTGTACCATCAAATCAGATCTGACTGGTACAGGAGGAGATTGCCCCTCCTTCTCCAGCAGAGCATCTGGTGGATTTGAACTGCGAGCCTCTGGGATTGCAGTGCAGCTTCTTGCCACTAGGCCACCAGAGCTCCCTTTAAATAACAGTCCATTTTAATTGTGATTTTAACAAACAATTACAGAGAAGTTAAATTTTCATTCATTCAAATACTTCTTTTTAAATTATACTGACCGGCCTGTGACACCCCATCTCAAAGCTATTCACGTTCAATAGTCTTAGAAGTTCTTTTTAATTAAGGAAAGCTTATTATATTTTGATTTTTCCTTTTTACTCAGTAGCTCATAATTCCCCAGCATTCTCTCAACTCATTCAGATACAGAGATATAAAAAATTTCCCCTTCAGGAGCACTTCCCAGAGTCCCCCATCTTGCTCCATTAAGGCCTTGTGCCTAAATATATTCCTGAGACAAAGCTGGCATCCCACGACCGCCCTTCACCGCCAGCTGAAGATGCCTTTGCCTCTCTCTTCTTTTTGTATCTTACACCTTCCTTTTAAAGTTGGTTTTTGTTTTGTTTTAAGAAAATTCCCTTGTTTTGGGTAGAACATATCCCTCTGTCAGCTTCCTTTCTAAAAATGTAGCTAAAGAAATAATTTTTTCAAATCCCGCATGTACAAAACTGTGTACTCTACCCTTACACTTGCTTCACCGCTACTCATAACAGGAATTTCTAGGCTGGAAACACTTTTTCTTCAGAATCTCATAGTCAGCTTTCCTGTGCTGCCTTCTAGTTCCCAGTGTGACTGTTCAACGTTTGACATCTTACTGATGTCAACCTTTTATGTCACCTATTGTTTTATCCCTGGAAGTTGTAGGATTTTCTCTTTGACCTCAAAGTGTGGACTCCACGTGTCTTTCTGTGGGGGCTGTTTTCATCCTTTGTGCTGAGTATTGATGAGCCCTGGTGATGCAGTAGTTAAAGAGCTCAGCTCTTAATAACCAAATAATGAAAGATACAGAAGTCAGCCTCAAGATTCACAGCCGTAGAAACCATATGTGCCAGCTCTACTCAGTTCTATGGGGCTGCTAAGCAGTTGAAATCCATTTCAGAGCAGCAAATGCTGTATACAATGGCCCTTTTAGTAGAAAAGCCCATATTCTTCAATTCTTTGGTATTTTCTTTTATTATTTCCTCCTCTCCATAGACTTGCTTCAATTTTTCTAGAACTCTTCTTTTTCAATGTTGGATTTCCAGGACTGGTCTTCCAATTTTCTTATGCTTTCTCTCTTACTTCTGTTAGAAAATGATTCAAGCGCATGCAAGAGAAAGAAACTGGTCCCAAAAAACAAACAGGCCTTTACTGCATGGTCTGAGAGGGACCCCAAGTGACCTGACTACACGCAGAGAGAGTTAAAATGGCATGTGGGCAGTTAAGGGCGGTTTCTCTTTTATAGGGGTCTTAGGGAGGGCTAGGCCATTGGCCAAAAATAAGGCCCCAGGAATAGATGGCATACCAATTGACATATTTCAACAAAGAGATGCTGCCCTGGATGTGCTCTCCAACTTGTGCCAAGAAATCTGGAGGACAACCTCCTGGCCAACTGATTGAAGAGCTCTATATTTGTTCCCATCCCAAAGAAAGGTGACCTGACAGAGGGCGGACATTATCACACAATATCATTGATATCACATGAAAGTAAGATTCTGCTGAAGATTATAAAAATACGACTGGAGCAGCACATCAACAGAGAACTGCCTGAAGTGCAAGCTGGGTTTAGAAGAGGCCGTGGTACTAGGGATATTATAGCTAATGTCAGGTGGAGCTTGGCTAAAAGCAGAGAGTACCAGAGGAATGTCTATCTGTTTTATTGACTACGCAAAGACATTTGACTGTATAGATCACAACAAACTGTGGCTGACTCTGAGAAGAATGGGAACCCCAGAATACTTGATTGTGCTTATGCGACCACCTATACTTGGACCAGGAGACAGTCGTCAGAACAGAACAAGGAAACACTGCATGGTTCAAAATTGGGAAGGGCGTGTGCCAGGGATGTGCCCCATCTCCATATCTTGTCAATCTATATACAGAACAGTTTATCCGGGAGGCTGGGCTCTATGAGGAGAAATGTGGCATCAGGATTGGAGGTAGACTCATCAATAATCTCTGTTATGCAGATGACACAACCCTCCTTGCTGAAACTGAGGAGGAACTGAAGTGCTTGCTGCAGAAGGTCAGGGACTGCAGCCTTCAGTACGGATTGAATGCCAACATCAAGAAAACAAAGATTCTCACCACTGGGCACTTTGGCAGCATCGTGATAGATGGTGAAGAGATTGAGATTGTTAACAGCTTTAGTTTGCTGTTCAAATTCAACACTCTTGGTACCAGCACCCAGGAAATTAAAATACGAATTGCAATGGGAAAGTTGGCTGTCAGAGACCTCTCCAAAGTGCTAAAGAGCAATGATGTCAGTCTGGAGACTAAAGTGAGCCTGATACAGGCCATGCATGATCTTTGCAATTACTTGCTATGCATCGGAAAGCTGGACAATGACTAGGGATGATAGGAGGAGAATTGATGCCTTCGCACTGTGGTTTTGAAGAAGAGTGTTGAATATACCATGGACTGCTAAGAGAACAAAACAAATGAATAGGAGAGGGTGAAGCCAGGCTGCTCCTTGGGGGCATGGATACTTTGGACATGTTGCAAGGCGGGATCAGTCCTTGGAGAGGGAAATCATGCCTAGGAGGGTGGAGGGACAGAGTAAGAGAGGAAGACCCTTGATGAGATGGATTGATTCAGTGACTGGGGTAATGGGGGTAAGGTGTGTTAGACAGTAAGATTGGAGCAGGCAGGGTTTAGGGTTGTTGTATATAAGGTCCGTATGAGTTGCTGGAGACTCAAGGGCACATAACAACAACAACAGGGAAGACAGATCCTTATCAGAATTCATTGTACCATTGGTTTTTTATCTGGCTGCTTTATAGATGTTATAAGGTTTCTCAAGGAGTGATCAGGTCTGGGGGCAACTGTCACTTTATTCCTCCAACTTACACTGTTTTAATAAAAGGAATCTATGTTCCAGGATATATTGTTTAACTTTCAAACTTTTCAACAAGTTTCCACATCTGCTTCCAGCTGTCATCTTTTTGGTGTAACAGTGTGCTTAAGCACAGCAGAGCTTGAGAGGCTCAGACAAGGTTATACTTAGGGTTGCTGAGAGTCAGCAACCAAACAATAACTACCATCTTTTCTAGTCTTAAGCGTTCTTTTCTATTTCTCTTTTTAAGTAATAGCAACCTATGTCTAAGACTTCTCTCTCAGAGATAAGGGATATCTCTTCTTACAGCATACTTCCTGTTTCCTCCAAGTTTTCTTCCCTGCCCCCATCCCATCTCCATTCTTCATGTTAAGTGTTCTTCAAGAGCCTAGTGAACAACCAGAGACAAGAGCATAGAAGGATGTTGATGGCAATGGGCAGAACTCTCCTATTCAACAATTTGCATTTTGCCTGACAATGTTTGCAATCCCCACAAAGACCACATTTCTATATCCCCTTTCCTGTCTCTTCTTGCCTTTAAGCTTTACTCTTGGGGCAAATGCTGTCCTTTTTGATGTTAAATGATTGATTGTCTTAAGGAGTGTTGCTGCTTACCCTAGAGATCTGTCTTTAACCTTAAAGTTAGACTTAGTGGGTCACAGACGCTTGGATATCTGACCCACCTTTCTGGGAGGTTTTTGTTTTTAGGATCATGTTTTTTTAGTGGTGTTTTGTTTTTTTGTTTTTGCTTTTTTTTAATTGGGAAATTTAGAATCATGGGAAACTGGTATCAGCAGACCCATGGACAATTGGGAATAAGTCTTAATGGGAGAAAATGGGTCATCTTCCCCTTGACAAAGTCAGCCTCTGACCATTGTTAAACTTTTTTTTTTTTTTTTTAAATAAAACTGTATTTGAAAAAAAAGATGGAGGGGGAAAAACCTACTGAAGTTTTTATGTCTACATGTATTTAAATGAGAAATACAATAAGCTAGGCTTATAGACTGGATTTTACGATAGCACACAAACTTGCTGTTTGGATGGACAACCCCTGAGCTCAGGGTCTTTTGCCCTTTCTTTCTCACAGGCAGAAAAGAATCTTCCAGTCTTCTGCCTGGAAGAGTGATCTTAGTTGCCAGAATTCTGGGAACTGAGTGGAGGAAGAAGTCTGAATTTTAGAGCCACAGCATTTAACAGGTAAATGTGTGTGACTGCACGTCCATTCCTCAATCTGTAGAGAGTAAGTCTCTGTTTGCTGCTGGAGTCGCAAGTGGTTCAAATAGGAAAGCTATGGAGATCGAGTGGCTTCACACCTCTCTCTGGAGGCGCATGGTGCTGCTAACGCTGGACCTTTTAGGAGTGCTGTGATAGGAACAAGAACCCAGTGGGGTTTTCTCTCTTGACCCCTGCTTCTCTTCATCTGAGTAAATAGTTACTTCTCATCTAACAACTTTTCCACTTCAAAGGTTACTGTGTAGCTTTCTCACCTGTTTTCTTTGTCCTTGAGGTTCTTTATGTGTGTCTACATGTATATGTGCACATATTTTTAAATCCTTTTAATGTTGTTTAACGGTGATTTCAGGAGGAAAAAGTGAACAAAGGCGCAATCTACTACCATTTATTA